TTGTTGCTGCTGCTGATTTTGAGAGAGAAAGAGAACACCATCAGGAGAGGGGCAGAGAGAGAGAGAGAGACAGAATCCCAAGCACTGTCATCGCAGAGCCCAAGGCGAGGCTCGATCTCACGAATCGTGAGATCGTGACCTGAGCTAAAGTCAAGAGCCGGATGCTTAACCGACTGAGCCCCCCTGGCGCCCCCTCCCCGCCTGCTCTTTCTTTTGCTCACACATCACAGTCAGTGCTCCAGACCTCCCCACTAGCAGTTCCCAAGGTAAGACTCTCTTTCCTTTTTTTTTCCTAATCCTGGTCCTGGAACCCCTCCTACCTTGATCTCTGTCCCTTCACCCGTGTCCCTGCGGGGGGGGGGGGGGGGGGGGGGGGCACGGGAGGGGTACTCGACGTGGTACAGAGGGATAGAAAAGAGAACTTTTCAAATGACAAATTCTCAAAGTTATTTTATTACACCCAAGTCCCACACGGAAGTTCGGGCTGCTTCGTAATTTACGCAGACAAACCTGCAGGCTTTGGTGGGAAGGTGGTTAGCGCCCCGATCCCTTCGCATTTCTATTCCAGTCAGTTCCCCCCGGTGTCGTCTGACTCACGTCACCTCGCCTCCGCTCGGGGACGATGGTTTCCCCCATCTTACTCAGAAACCCGACAGGTGCCTCGGGGAGGGTGCGATCCGGACACGGAATTTCTCGGAGCCAGGCAGGGTCGTGGGCTCAGCGGAAGTCCGCCTCGTCCTGCACGCCGCACGCTTCGAGCTCCCTACTCTTGGTGGTGTTCCTTCGCTTTCTTGTTTTCAGGAAGACTCTTCAAGTTTTCGAGCTTATTGTCAAACTTGGTTAGGTAAAGCTGGAACTCAGAACCTAGAAGATATCCCACAAAAAGAAGAGTTAACACAAAAAAGGTCAAACCTTTTGGCGGTCCTCGTGAAAACGGCACGTGGGACAGCCAGATGCCACTCCCCACACGGGCGCTTAGGGAAGGACGTCTGGTTCCTTAGAATGCCCTCCATGTTCCCACCCCATTGGCTTCTGGCATCTTCACTGTGTCTGAGTTTAGGCTTGTGAGCTTCCAGAATCTGAGGGGTGATATGTCGAAGGGGATTCTAACTCATGGACCTTGGTTTCTCATGTGATGCCCAGGAGCCCTTACCCTAACGGGACAGAGGTGTTTTCTAGTAAATGAATTTCAAGACATCTCTATTGGCCATTATCTTGTTTTTGTAACTGACCTTCTTTGTCAGGCCATTATTCATTGGTGGGTTGATCATATTAACCCATCGGGGTGAGATCAGATACCACTACGAAGTGTCAGGTGGGTGACACAACTGGGCTGACTGGAGACCACTGCTGGGCGTGACAGTGGTTCTCTTCTCTGAACAGCAAAGGGGGACTGTTGTTCAAGTCTTGGCCGGGGGCAGGGAAAGAAGCCTTCTTACTATCTACTGGGGGCTGAAGTAATAATCCTAAATTAGCCAGTCTCAGAAGGGTGGGCACAGCGGACACATAGGCAAATGGCAACGTGGACCATCTCGGTCAGAGAGGCGAGGATGTAAAACGTCTGAGCTCCCTCCTGAGGGTACATTGGAAGGACACTCCCCGCTCATGGAAAGAACATGTGAGACGTAGCATGTGGGCAACGATACAATCTGCATGTGCCTGTTGCAAGAGTCACGTACCATTTTATTAGGGAAAATGGGAACACGGCAAAATTAGAACAAGGAGTTAGATGAGTGGGTCTATGCCCCCCTTGGCTAGGCTGCTGGTATTCGGACCTACTAAGCAGGATGCCACCCTTTGGAAAAAGGAATTGGTGCCGTTAATATCATACATAGTATAATATGGGGGAAAATATCATTATAACTGGTGTCGTTCTTCCTCTGTCACTATTGTTGGAGGGGCAAACCAGTGCAAGACAAAACAATCAATGAACCAGGAAGGAAAGATGGAGACAAAATCAAAAAGGGGCCTTTGTTGGTGGGAGGGGAGAGCGTGTAAGGAGATTTACAAGTTTCAAAAGATACATATAAGGTTGGGGTAATAGTGGGGCGCCTGGGTGGCCCAGTCAGTTAAGCGTCCGACTCTGGATTTCGGCTCAGGTCATGATCTCATGGTTCGTGGGTTCGGGCCCTGAGTCCGGCTCTGCACTGAAGGTGTGGAGCCTGCTTGGGATTCTCTCTCTCCCCCTCTCTGCCCTTTCCCTGCTCATGCTCTCTCTCTCTCTCTCTCTCTTCTTCTAAATAAATAAATAAACTTAAAAATAAAGTTGGGGTAATACTGAGTAGGCAATGTTGATTGGAGACCAATTCTATTAGGAGGATATAAAGGTTTCAGTATTCATTAGGAGACATAGATTACAAAGGCCATGAGTTCAGGGAATGGGAATAGTTCAGCACCATTTTACAGAGAAACAGACAAAATAACGACGGGAAAACTGTGGAATATTTGCATTCTTGCAACCACAGAAACGAGGTGAGCCAAGAAGCCTGACCCGGTGGGTTAGAGGGTCCCAGGTTGGCTGGACTGATCATGCCTTCTTCCGGCACCCAGTCTGGGGTGTGATCCCCGAAAAAATGTAGTAAACAATCCGTGCCCGAGTTAACCCCACCTTGGGGGAATGTGTGGGAGTTGGGGATGGGCTTGGGAACAGGCCAAGATAAAGGTATGAGGGAAAAATTTGAGTTGTGTTTAATAAGGTTACCTTGAGCCCACGCTCTTATGGGAGTGTCTGGATGTTGCTAAGCGTCTTACTTTTCCTACTGTGTCTGGCCATGCCCTTCATAGACTGGCCCATCGGAGCCTCCTGCCCTTTAGATGATGCTCTGTCTGCTACTATTGCCAGACGAGATGGGTCCACCCAGAGAAGGAAGACAACTGGACTGAAACAATTGCAGACAATAAACAAAAGTTGATCTTACACTCGTTGGGGAGATTCATGAAGTTGGTTTCCACCACTCTGTTGTTCAGGGGCTGGGTCATGCGGTAGATATTGTGGAGGGTCTTGTTCTGGTGATCCAATATGGAATTCTCTAGCTTCCAACCCTGTAGGCCACATGAAGTGGATTATGGAGGGGAAGAGCTACCGGGTAGTTTAAAGGAGTATAATTAGCAACGGAACCAGAGCTTGGATTTATTTATATAACCCTCGTAAAGTGGGTGTGAGAAGATCTCAAATCCTGCCACGTGGCAGGGAGAGCATTCATCCTTCCATCCATCCATCCATCCATTCTTCCAACAATATCTTTTCATTGTTTTTGAGGACTATTTGGTCACCAGTCGAAAGGAGGGAAAGCAGTAAACAGATTTTTGTGGGTGGGTATCCTTGAAGAGGGTATCCCACCTTTTCCTGGATCGGGGAAATGAAAAGTCTAAGAAAAAGAAATATCTGTTCCCGAGGAGGGACATCACCCCAGAAGGAAACGCCAGCCCTGCCTCTGCAAAGCTTTAATTAACCCCACAAATATTTACGATGCACCCACGCTATGCTGGGGAACAGAAGGTGGTGGATACGGCTCTTCTCCCCAAACGGTTGCACGTGTGTGAGCATGGAGACGAGCTAACGGTGAAACTGTCCTTGCACAGAGCCATTTATGAAGTTGGACCGTTAGCCCGTGGAAACGGGGGTTTGTCTATCAAGGGCCTAGAACAGTACCCAGCAGGAGCAACGCTCAGTAAATATTTGCCTTCTCCATGCGGCTCTTCTCCTCTGCCTGGGGTCCGGTCCCCGTCCTTTTGCCACCTCAACCGGGACTCCTTGGTCTCTCTGGCCCCTCAACTTGTCCATCTCCGCCACAGCCCTAGTGAGATCGCCCACAGCGGGACAGGTGAGGACGGTAGCCCTGTGCACGGAGAGCACCGTAGGAGCCCAGGTGTTGGCGTTAGGTGAGATTTAGGGGAGCGCGCCTGTCAGCCAGGCAGTCAAAAGGGGAGACTTTGCTGGGGTGATGCCATGCATTACCTGTGCCCTGGAGAACATGATGGGACTTGCCAGCACAAACCAGTAGACGTTCTCAGTACAGGGAGGAGTGGTGAGTGACCCTTTGTAGCTGTAGTAGTGATGCACGTTCTCAGGGAGCATGTCCCGAATGTCAAGGTCACTCAGAACTGTGCTCTGTCCTAATGGAGGGGACAAAAGACAACGGAATGTTAGGGGGCCCTGGTGCCCCTGGGGTCGACGGCTCCGGCTCGGACCTGTCCGTGTCTGAATCCCCCGATTCAGCGGAACACAGAAACTGATCGTTGGAGACATTCCCCCAGTTTCGCTTCCTGGAAAGGAAGAGCAAAGACTCTGGGGAGAGACCCACTCAGATGCCTCCTCCCGGATGAGTGGCACCATCCGGTGTTGACTCCTCAAAAGCTGCTCCTTCATCTGTGAAAAGGGAATGTTCAGTCGGATTGCGGTGAGGGTCAAGGGGGCCATCGAACTCTCACGTAGGCAAGTCCCGATGAGTGTGAACTGCTGTTACCACTGCTGAGCAGAGGATACGCTTTATGATAAAGGAAAGAAATTAATCACGACTGCTAGGGGTTTCTGAGTAAGAACTCTCAAGATTTCTTGGTTTGGGCTTGCTTAGAAATGGGTGGATAGAGGGGCGCCCGGGTGGCTCAGTCGGCCGAGCGTCTGACTT